AAAAATTGTAACTGCAGGATTTGTAAAGTGAGGCGGAAGTGGAGGGTGCAAAACCAAAATTACAGAGCTGCGCACCCTTAGCAGCAAATATATATAAGGTCATATAAAATGTAGAGTTACATAAAAGCCCTTAATATAAAACAAAATTACAAAATATGCCTATTTCCTACACATCCCAGACAAAGACGAGAAGATCCCAATCGAATTGGCCTACAGCACAATTTAAGAGAAAATGACACGCTATCTGTACTATGAAACTCCACTAGAGTTTCTAAATGAAGGCGACCGTGGCTTCTACATCCTCCAACAGTGTATAGCTAGGAAAATGTTTGGTAAGAACTCTAGTATTAATTAATGCTTCATCTTCTTACGGTATATCATATAAGAAAAATAAAAATTAGAATATCTTAATATTTAAAACACTAAAATTATTGGTAAAATTATTTAAATACGCTAAATAAATCTTTTTTGAGTATTCATTCATTAAAAATGTTAAAATTTTTTTGTTATTGCTCCTAATATTTTAATTACTAGGACTTCCTAATTTTTGCAATTCCATATCATGTTATGCTGTTATTTTACTCTCTCTTACAAACTTTGATAGCAGATATTGCATTCGATCTACTCCATAATTTTCCAAAGTTGACGTCTCACAATTATTGTTGCTCTTCGGATTCCAAGCCACTCATTTTAACGCTAGCTCAAACACCACCACCATTCTTCAAAGGAAATAATCTTTCATTTTGGGAATTGTGGATATATGACTGTCAATATTACTTCTCTTTTCTCTTTAATTTTTAATATAATCATTTTCCTTTAATTTATTTAATAATTATTTGGCTAGAGACAAATTTAATCTTAGATTTCCTCACAACTGTCATAACCTATTTGGTTTTTCTTCGATCTGTCTTTCCTTTTCTATTTTTATTTTATTTTATTTTATTTTATTTTATTTTTCAGTTTGTTCTTCTTGATTGATTTAATGTATTGAATGCTCTCTTTATCGATTGAAATTGTAATTCAAGGCATAAGCGTGGAGGCATACGCCATCAAAGAAGATAAGCATCAAGAGAGGAATGGAAGAACAATCCAAATGATTGAAGAGAATAAGCAAGAGTGGATTTCTCAAAGGAAGAATCAAGAGAGGAATGGAAGAACAATCCAAGAGATTCAAAGGAAGAATCAAGAGAGGAATGGGAAAACAATCCAAGAGAGGATTCGAAGAAAGATCCAAGACATTCGAAGAAAGAATCGAGAGATGTTTCCAGGTATGATTCAAGAGATGAAATCATTTAATAATTTATGCGGTATATATTATTTTAGTATTTGCAATTTTCCCTAATGACTTTGTAGAATTTGTTGAGTAGATGCCTGGCACAAAAGTTGCTCTTTGGATTTCAAGCTTCTCTTTATAATTTGGTAAATGTCATTTTTTATTCATATGCTATGAGTTATAAAAGGCAATTGGAAATTAGTGATGGATAACTATTCAGACAAAATTGGGATTCGAATCTTTCCAAGGTCTATAATGCATATTGCTGCTGCAATTAGGACCACAGTGCTTATTGCATGAAACTTATTACTAACTTATTCATTCTGAATATTTACTCATTCACTGCAAAAGTACTATATGTAAAATGGTTATAATCTATATATGAGTCTTTTTCTTTTCCTTTTCCCCTCTTTTTCGTGCTATATCTTGATTCTTATATGTAGAAATAATATAGCAAATATATGTTCTTTATTTAATCAACATAGAAAATTTATTTGGATTCTTATTTTTAATCAGCTTATATTTGTAGAGTGAGTTGTATGCCTTCTTTTTATGTTATATTTATTTGAGTTTCACAATGACTAATTCTTGCTTTTGTGTTTATAATTTGGATTAAATTCTTTTTTATTTCCTCTATATATATATATATATATGCTGAGTTAAAGGCAATCTTTTTGGTGAAATTAAGATTATGAAAAAGTAATTAATTATTGTAGTTACGGAACCTTCATTCTTTCTGATTAATCAATGTAATTCATTCATCGCAGTGTTTCTTTTCTTTTCTTTTTTTTTGATAGGCACTGCAGTGTCTCCGCTAAAACGAGCGATGTTTCTCATTATTGGTAAGCAGTAACATCCACTCATTTAGCTTTTTTTTTTTTTTTTAATTTATTTATGTCAATTGTATTTATAAAAGTCATTCCTTCGCAATTCTAAATATTATTACTCATTCATTGCAGCGATACCATATCATGCACTGCATCTGTCAGTTTCTCTAGTTTGTAAGTAATAATGTCCACTCAATGAGACTCTTACTCCTTTAAATTCATTTTTGTGTTATGTCTGTCAGCAAAGCACATAGATGGATGTGTCTGTTTTTCCTTGTGTTTATTATTAGGATTAAGATCATTTTTTAATCTTGCATTATGAGTTTAAGGTAATATTTTTCATTAAAGATCATAGAAAGAGAATCAATTATTGTAATTATGACTCTCATTCTATCTAATCGTGAATATAACTCATTCACTGTAGGGGTGGCCGTCTTCTCGGTATGTGGAATCACGACTTTAATCCTACTGTGCCTTGGTATACTGATCCTTGGTAAGCAATAAGCAACAACATCCACTCAATGAGCATACACATTTTAGCTAACAGTTATAAAGGCAATAAATTGCAATTATGAAACTCATTCTTTCTGATCCTGAATATATAACTCATTCATTGTATAGAGGCGCTAAGCATGCTGGTTTCAACGCACTCAAAGAACTATGGTAAGAAATACTACGTCTACTAATCAATGAGCCCTTTACTTTTCTTCATTGTTGTTCTATATCTCGATTTTTCTTTATACTAAAGGTTTTTTTTTTTTCTTTTGTTATTAGAAACACATTTATATCAGCTAAAGTTGATGGATGAGTATGCCAGGGAGGTTATACATTTAATTTGTGATCGGTCATTATCAGAATTAGATCAAAGTAAAGCAGTGGAAGCAACCTTCCAGGCTATCAAGAATGGCATCCCAGGCATTGTGAAAAAAATTATAGAAGCTAATGCTAATAATGTATTATGGTGCAACAAAGATCCTGAAGATCCATTAAGAAACATATTTGCTTGTGCTATAGCACATCGTCAAGAGGAAGTGGCACACTTTCTTTATGAATCCCAAAAGGAGAAAAACATGCTTTTTGACATCGATGAAGATGGAAATAATACATTACATCTCGCAGCAAAATTAGCTCCTAACTATAAATCAGGTTACATCTATGCGGCAGCTTTACAATTGCAAAGTGAACTACGTTGGTTCAAAGTAAATATCTTTTATTTTTATTTTTTTTTTAATTAGGTAATGAGAAATCTTATATCATTCCTTATTCACATGCTACTCTTTTATAGTATGTATTATTTTTTATACTATGAATTGTATATTAGATTATTTTCATGAAATTCCAGTCTCATCCTAAAAATATATCTTATTTGTTTAGACTCTCTTGTGTCATGTCAATAAAGATAAGTTTATTTCAATTGAGATAATTAATCTTACTGGTTTTTTATTTTTTATTTGATGAAAAAATATT